CTCCTCCTCGTCCTCCTCCTCCTCCTCCTCTTCTCCTTCCCCACTTCCCATTCCAGCCGGGGTTGCTCTCCTCCTCCCTGCCTCCTAGATGACCCAGGCAGCTGGTGTCATGATTCTTGATGAAAGCCAAAATGGGTCATGAGCAGAGAGAGCAGCAGATCCACCAGCCAAGCCTTCCAGGGAGCTTTGTAATGCATGCCGTCGAAATGCTGTCCTGTAACCTAATCTGGGGGAGATTTGTGGATGATTATATTTGAGAACGCATCCTGTCCAGCTACTAGTGTATTCCAGGAAGGGAGCGCTCCGCCACCCAGCCGGCAGCGTGGACCTCATCATCACAGCCCAGGGGCTGGAGGCAGGAGGATCTGACTTCTTCCTGGGTGACCTCCAACATGTCTTGCTCCCCTATCACTCTTTGAGTCCCCCCAGCTGTAAGTGTTCTGGACACTGCCCAGTCTGCAGGTGTGCTGGGTGGCTGAGATCCTGGTGGCCCGCAGAGCCCTGACAAGATGAGGGAGAGCACCGTGCCACCAGGGAGGGTCAGTGTGGCCGTGGATGGGGCGGCGAGGGTGTGAGCTGAAACGAAGGAAGAAGCATGGGGGTTTTTGGAGGGTAGAGATCGCACAGAAAAAAAAATCCCTTTTCTCAGCCTGTTGTTGCAGAGCAGAAGTCAGTGGTTTGTTCTGCTGTATTCATGGAGTGTTTTGTCTGCTGGTTCGTGCATGCTCAAAAGTCAGGGAGTTTTGCCTGAATAAAGAGACAAGATAAGGCCCCTTCTGTGGGAGCAGTGCGAGTGAGAGCGTTAGGCCATATTCTGCAACCACTTCAGCCAAATCTTCCCAATTTTTTTACCACTGGTGTGAATGAGTGTTGGGTTGCTGAGTAGTTTGTTGAATGAGCAGACGTATGCTGCAGTTATGATCTTATGCATATGTGTATTCCATCTCTGCAGACCAGGCTTTTAAAAGCAGCTAATCTTGACCTAGTTCTTCTTCCTCTTCATGTAAAATCTTCTAAACCCACACGTGGAGCCCAAAGAGGCCAGTGAAGCATGAACTTGCTCCCATAGCTCCTTTCCTCATACGCTTCCTGAAACCTCACAGGTTCCCCAGCAGTCTGGGTTTTGATAACAGGGAACTAAAGAACTGGGCATGATCTGCACATAGGACCTTTCTGGACACAGTGACTGACCTGTTTGCAGGAGCAGCTCCACTTATTCAGCTGCTTACCTAAGGATTCACATAGCTCTGGACAAAAAGGTACATCCTGAGATGTGACCATGGCATGCAGTGGCTTTGGTGTCAATCCAAGGTCACTGTAGCCACAGGAAAGTCTCTTGCTGATCTGTGTGAGCATCACATCAAGTTTTCTGCCTGCATTAAACAAAAAACAACCAGCCAACCAACCAAAACCTGGTATGTCTGCCAAACACTATGTACTGTCCAAAGATTAAAGTTTCAGCAGGAGGCAGAGTGTAATTTTTGATAACTAACAAGGAAGTCTTTCCTATCTCTTGATTCATCTTGGTTCCTTGGCTCATGTAAACCAGAAGAAAAAGGGAAGATCTAAACTTTAAACCAGCTCTTTACCATTTGGCTGGAAGGTAACACCTTCCCACTCACAATAAGATAAGTACAATTAAGATATCATATCTCCAAGCCCTGGGCTTTTGGGAATTCACTAACTTCTAATGTCATGTTATGTTAACTGTGTCCTGCTTGTGTTTTCTCTGTGTATAAACTAAACAGATTGTCAGCATATCAGTCCTAATTAATGAATTAGCTTTGCCTTTTTTTTTTTTTTCCTTATAACATGCTCATTGAAGATCCAAAATATTACTAATCACCCATGTGGAGATTTATGAGCCTCCTTATTTTCTAGGCCTGATTGTTGTTTGTGCAGGTGGAGATTTAAATGACCATCTCCATTGCAGAGATTTATAGTCCAAGTGATTGATGTTATTATAGAAAGGAGCTACAAGACTCTTACTGGAACAAGGATGACAGAAAACCAAGCTGAAGTTTCTTGTGTCTCTAAGCACGAAAGACCAGAGAGTACAAAAGCCCAACAAAATTTCAGCATCAGAAGCTCCCAGAAGAACAAAACAACAACAAAAAAGGTATATGCTTACATCCTTTCTAGCACTTATTTTTAACTTTAATTTAGTAATTTCTAAAAATTTTTTGTAAAAAGCAGAAGGAGTGATCTTGCTTCTTAAAAATGTCTTTAGTATGTTGCTACATGTGCATTCTGAAAATCAAGGTATGAGTACATGTGTGTTCTGAGCCTTTAGAATTGCCACACATTTGTAGCTTTTACTGACTTACATATATTTTTGAGTTCTCAGAGCCAGTAAAATTGATCCTTAATACACACCACACACTTCTGTGGAGACACAGGATACATTTTTGTACTCATTTTGTAGAGATGTGTGTGTGTCTGTGATATATCCTCACATATATTTAGTATAATGTACTTTGAGTCCTTTATGGATGCAGACTATTACACAGTATTTTAACAACGTCCCTTTTTTTCCCTCTCCAAAGGGGCCAACATGAGCAGAGCTAAAAAACTGCATCCTCTCATCTCCTGGTAACTCCTGGTTCCTTATTTATTTGTTACGTGAGTTGAATCTCTCATTTTCCAACCTTCCTGCTCTTTATGTCCCTCCTGGCAAGCTCAGGGCTTGTACCCCTAATCTGGCTCCCTGTTTCAATCCCTCTTCCCTCACCTGAATTGCTTTGCCCAGTCCTCCTGACTCTTGTTCTAAACTGCAACCCCGGTTTGGGGTAGAGACCAATGGGGTGGAGACAAACCCAATCCTGTGGGAAGGGTAAAGATGGCTGCATCCAGCGTGGCAATGGCCTGGCTACTTACATCTCCAGTTAAATGACTGGGACCACAGAGCAGCCACTGGGTTAATAACTGGCTGGGAAAGACAGATGGAGCTAAAGTCCTTTTGGCCTTTCCAGTACATTCACTTCTTCATTCATGTTTAAAAAGGAAGTTGAAATACTGGCATGGGGAACATCAGTACAAATCTATGGATTTGCTCTGTAGATGAATTTTTTCTCTGCATTGCTCTGACTACTCAGGAAAGTACATTTCTCTTTTACTTCTAATTGAGACCCACTAAGCCATAAGGTCATTTAGGACATGCCAGGGGTGCTGGGGACAGAGATTCGGGATGCCTGGTATGAAGGGTGCCAGATAGGTCCCCCCTGTGACACATAGGCTTATGCTCGTCTATGGCAGATTACAGATTTCTCCCTGGAAAAAAAAAAAGCCCCACTTTTTATGACTCCAGCGTTGTCTCCCTTGGGCTGAAATAACATGGTAATTTGAAACAGCTTTGGAACTTGAGGCCAAGATTTTTGCAAGTGTCTCATGATTTTGCATGGCATCGCTTGGGTTTTTGAGTTTTGGTTTTGTTTTTTTTTTTTTTTTATGTTCTGTGTCATTTATCAAGGCACCATATTTTCACTGTGCATTGAACAGTCACCCAGGAAAAACCTCAGTTCCCCCACAGCCGAGGAAAACATAATCAGTAGCTGGTTTTAAAACTGTTCACCCAATTATAATACAGGTGTTTTCCTATATTTGGAGAATAACCAAAGAAGTCACCCACAAGCAGCCAGCTGATCATGACTGATGTTCATTCAGGTTTGAGAGTAATTGGGAATAAATGTACAACTAGACCAGTGTTTTCAAGTTGCAATTTAAAAAAAGAAAAAAGTGGTTGTGCTGAGATTTCTGCTCACTCTTGGTCTCACCCGAAAACTAAGTAAAATTGTGGAGGGACTTCAGAATCATACTTTTACATACCTTAAGTGAAATAGTACTACTAATATACTTATATAGGAATATAATATATACTTATATATGAATAATACTAATGATATCTAATACTAATAATATAATCCTATTAATAATATAATCCTGCAATATTTTTGAGATAGGAATCTGTCTTGTCCATTGCAGAGGATGGACAGTGCTGGACAAATGGATCAAAGTTGTTTGTAACAGTGGGGTAGGTTTTCGGAAGGGGCAGAGCACTGAAACCCTCCCACAGCTCCTTTCCAGTGCTGTGTATCTGTTTCTAGTCACAGTTTTGGTTTGAAAGGTAAAAGACATTGTGATAAATAACATAATAAAGTACACAAAGAGAAAAAAGAATGTAATTGCCAAGACAGTAAAAAAGCTGTCCTAGAGAACTGGCCTAAGAGGCACATATTTCTGTGTGATAC